TAATTGTTTTTGTATTTATCATAATGTATTAATATGTTTGTTTTTTTTGCTTTTTTGCTTGATTGCATTATGACACCAGATGGCAGGTATGACAGTCAGGTCATTTATGTCGCTGCGGTGGTCTGTGCTTAGGGATTTCTGTAATTTTTCTTTTTTTTTTTGTCCTGCCCCTTGTATGTAAATTGTATTATATAACAGACCAAAACCACAACCAAAACAGAAACGAATACAAACTAAGCATTTTCAAAAAATGTAAACATTGACTAGATGATAAATACTAAACTAGAATTGAAAAATCGGAAGTCAAAACTAAATGAAAATAAAAACTGACATTTCAACATTTCAAAACTATTTAAACCTTAATCTCATAATCTTGAAAAATCACTCACATTTCTTTGTAGATCATTGCTGATTGTACCAAAGATCTGTATCTCTAACTTGTCTCCAACATTTATTATTTGCCTTTTCTGATGAGTCATGAAAAGTCAATGAACAGATGTTTAAGCGATATGTTTAAAATACTGTCAATATAATAGTTGAATTGCTGATAAATAATATTAGAAGCCCATTAGTCAATTAACAGAAGTGGGGCCCTGCCACTCATCATGAAGCCCTAGTTAATCTCAGGGGTGGAGCTAGATGGGGGGCCAGGGGTGGCCATGGCCACCCCATTGGCCACTTCTACCATTTTTTCCCTTCTAATACAGATGGTGGCAGCAGTAATACTCTCAAGTGGAGTATTCATTTAAATTTTTCATATATTACTTACTATTTTTTTTATGTATTCATAATTTCTTGACAACAAAAACACCGTGGTTAATTATGCACATCAATAGTACTAACATTAAAGATGATAAGTACAGAAATCTTGCTCTTTTCAGATCTAGATTTTGTGTTTTATGGGGTAAAGAGAAAATGATGTGTATCTGCATTCATCTAGGAGTCTTCAGTGAAATCATAGATAAATAACTATTTTAATAAAAATGTAATAAATAATCAATTTATGTAGATATTAGTATTTGTAAATATCAATTTTATGCAGAATGATTACTGATAAAAGTAGGGAAGTAATGACAACGGATGTTTGCCCCAGAACTCAAACATGAAAGTATTTTATCCACTATACCTTTTATCTAGAAAGCATGGATGTTTAAATATATGTGTCTGTTTTAGACTTGTCCCGATCCGATCCACGTATCGGATCGGACGCCGATATTGGCAAAAAAATGCGTACTCGGCAAAGCATGTAAAAATGCCGATCCAGACTAAAAAAAAAAATCTGGTCCGATCCATTCCACTATTTTGCGCCAGTGTTCCCCGAATCCGGTCCGCATTTTCCAGAACACCTTCAACACACCCACAGGTCTTTTTGGGTCTGTCTCCCGGCTTAACCATTAAAACAGGTGAATTGGAAGATAGCGGGGAAAATGTCAACCGTGTGGGATTATTTTATCCTTCACGACGTGTAGATGGAGACTAGGTGTGGAGGAGATTGGGGAGTATAAGGCATTTTTGTGTAATAGTTCACTATTATTTGCACTGATTTTTTTTTAAGCATTGTCTTTTTTCAAGAGTAGAGTCCTGATTCTAAGTTAATAGACTATTTTCCACTCTTGTCTGTTTTGCATTTTTATTAAAACTTACAGTAATACTTGCACCTTTAACTGTTTACGGTTTTACTGTTCACTGTGCAATTTCATAATTTTGTCCAGTTTGTGTTTATCTCTTAATAAACAGGTAAGTTTGTTGTTACCAATCATTGTGTTTTATTCAATCTCACCTAATTCAGCTGGCTAGATGTTATCAAGAGTACTAAAACCCTTTTCAACATGAGTCTTACAACTAAGGCTAAATACTTTAACTTAAACTTAAATACATGTTCGGATAGGCTGGTATCGGCCAGTATCGGTATCGGATCAGAAGTGCAAAAACCTGGATCGGGACATCTCTAGTCTGTTTGTTAGCAAACGCTGTAGGAAAGTATAGTTAGTCTTATCTTTCGCTTGACACTATCAGCCACCCCTCAGTGTACATTGGTTGATGCCTGGCCACCCTTATAAACATTTTCGGGCTACGCCTCTGGATAATCTTGGACTGGCTCTGGTCAAAGCTCAGGTAAGAGCTGTGATCAGACCTGAAGAAAGACAGATGGTCTCCAGAATAACTACTGATTGTGATAAATACATACATGCTTCTAACAACACGGAAGTCCCTGTTACTCTATCACGCCCTGATCTCCTGAAACCGCATACCACCACACTTGTCCGTCCCGTCCAGGCTGACTTTGCTACAGTATGTTTCCCCGCTGTAGAGGGGGAGAAAGGGGCAATCAGAGGAGGACAGCAGTTATTAGCTCTACATACCGACATAAGTTGGATGTGAGGCGCTGCAGCAGCAGCTCGGTGGTCCTGGACGAGCCGGGCAGCAAACAAAGTTTATAGAAGAAAACTCCAAGTTGTAGGGAAATCACGTGGGACGCTCTTTCATTTCTGATTTTTTTTTTTTCTTGCTTGTTGCGCAACCCGGGCAGAGAGAGCGATTACTGTGGACTGAACAGCCCATTTTCCAGAGAGCAAAGCCATGACATCAGCACCCTCTGCTGGAGAACCATGGGATAACCTTCCACCTTCTCCATCTGTTAACAGCTGTATAGTAAATTTAGTAATGGTCAAAGATTATACTCAAGGATACGGGAGAGGATTAGGGCCAGTGAAAAAATAAAAAAAAAGTTAATTGATTTTTAAATAATATTTCAGTTTAATATGGGAAAAAGTCAGAATTCTGACTTTAATCTCAGGATTCTGACTTTAAACTCAGAATTCTAACTTTTTTCTCAGAAGTCTAACTTTAATCTCAGGATTGTTACTTTAATCTCAGAATTCTGAATTTTTTCTTAGTATTCTGACTTTAATCTCAGAATACTGACTTTTTTCACAGAATTCTGACTTTAATTTCAGAATTGTGGATCTTAATGTAGATAGGCACCATGAAAGAAGAGATGTGGGAGAACTTAACTTCACTGACAAAGAAGTGAGTTGTTTGAGAGGGCCAGTAACACATTGGTGGAAAATGTCAAAGAACATTATTTGTATTTTCAATCACTTAAATTTATGAAGAAGAAAAATGGTATAAAATTATACAATTTTGTAAATAACTGTAAACTGAATGTAAACCCCTAGCTATTATTATTTTATGTTTATTTTATTTATTAATTTGTTTATTTCATTTATTTATTTATTTTTCTTTACCTTCTATGTCTCGTCTTTCTTAAAGTTATACTTTCACCAAATGTTGAATATCTATGCTTGATGTTTGAATAATTTTGTATTGTTACACGGAATTGCCAATAAAGCGCAACAAAAAAAAAAAAATGAAAATGAAGGAATTAGATGACTTTTTACGTGCCTGAGGGGTCCCCGTTGCTATTTTATTAAGGGAAGCGCAGAAAGGTGATTAAAACAAGAGAGCTAGTTTAGTCTTTAAAACAGGCATGGATACAGCTTGATGCTAACATATTTGTTAGCTGTCAGAATTCAGTCAGAATTGTAAGATTAAAGTCAGAATTCTGAGATTAAAGTCAGAATTCTGACTTTTTTCTCATAGTATACTGAAATTAAATTTAAAAATCAGTTAATTTTTTTAATTTTTTGAGTAATACTTGACTAATACTCTTCCATACAAGGATAACATTCCGGGTAATATAAAAAAAAATTAAAACTTAAACAAAGTAAGAATTTGTCTAACATCTGATTTGTTCAACTGTTTAAATGAGTCAGAAATATATAATTATGTGAAAAGTCTGATATTTCAAATAACAAAAATACATATCTGTGACAAGGCAAAAGCTAATGTAGCTTTTTGAAACAAATGTTTAGATTATTCTAAATGAAAGAGACCCCTGCTATCAACCACAGTGAGTCAGAATATTCAAGCAGAAGAAAACTACTGAATAAAAATATGACAAAAAAAAATGTTTGGTCTCACATCAAAATTATGATTCATTTCCACTCGAATACGTTGTTCCAGTCACTTTCTCTTTGATGATATTTTTAGTAAAAATGAATTTTCAATACTAAAATAGTTTCAGTTTTAAATAATAAAACGCAGTTTTTATTCAGGTTCACAATTATTAAATACAGTATAATTCTAATGAAATCCACTTTCAAACCAATACATTTAATTTTAAATATTGCATAAGGGCAATTCAAACTCATTTTCTGATATTTAAATTCTGCTTCTGACAGAACAAATTCCTGCTTATATGATGAATAATTTATTATGTCCTTACATTATAAATAATTCATCATGTTCATGGTGAGATACAATAAATTTACTAAATTCACATGAGCAGAAAGTAAAAAATGTGAAAACTGTGTATATGTTTTTTGTTTTTTTTCCTTTGTGGCACTTTTGGCTTTCCATACAATAATTTCTTTTGTTTGGCATAGCATGGTAAAATAATTTCACTTTCACCATATATTCTACCTTTCTAGAAATACTCAGTCTACCATATACCTTGATTGAAATTGTAGAATTACAATTTAACTTTCTTATTGAGTAATAAATCTAGGCCTTTGAAATATTTAAAAAATTAATATTTATTTATTTGATTGTTGGAAGATGGAATCAGAAGTTTGAAAGAATCAACTTGAAATGTTAAATATGTTCATTTTTGATGTGTCACAGACTTCTATGGTTTGGGGCCCCATCAAAGATTATTGTGTCCTGTTTCCAGACAAGGCTGTCAGCTGAGCAGTCCTGTAGAAAAATGCAATCTCCATGCAGGTAGGACCTCAGCTGACCCCTGACCTTCTTCCTGTAGGGTGACAGCGCTCTCAGCTACTACACCACATGCTGCATGAGAACATGTTTTTGAAATAAAACCACGGCAGATGAAACATACAGTTAATAGTTTAAATACATATAAAGATTTATTATTTTTAATTCTTGCCTGATATGGGCAAATATATTTAAAAAGCAAAACATGATAAAAACACGTTCTGAGATGACAGTGAGATGTTTAGACTTCAATAATTCCTTAAACTACACACAACTTAAGTTGGAATTTGCTAATTTGACAAGCTATGACTAAAATATACTAATAGAACATCAGACACCAACTGCATTACAGTACACAAATACATTGATATTTTATTTTTATATCGCATGTTTGAGGCTTTTAAGGAAAAGCTTGATGAATTAATAATTAAAAGTGAAATAAATATCTGTACATAATTTACAACAAACCTAAACAGGAATAAAAAACAGTTTTTTTATAAAAATACAAAGAAAAAAAATACAGGAATACTGAGAGTAAAGCATTAAATTGTGTTTATATCCAAGATTGCAGACATTGATCTAATAAATTAGACCCCCACCAACCAGAAGTCCTCATCTACTATGCCTATTTGGGTTGGATATGATATGATATCTGCATGACACCGATATAAGAGGTACTTCATCTCACAACAATTACAGTTGTTGAAAAATCACAAATGACTGTAATAAAAGGCTCAAGGCGTCGCTGAAACAATATCTCATTATCAGACACCTCATCAGGTCCTCCATGTGATTGCCTGAGTCAGGAGTAAAAATGATACGAGTACGAGTGCCGCATCCCGTCGTGCAGCAGCGTCAGAAATTAAACATTTCTGCCCCCGACTGGTTTCAAGACCTGCGGGGCTCAAGGCTGTGAGAGAGCTGGGATAGGGTCCTTTGGTTGTCGATCACGCTGAGCTGACGCACATAGGTCCAAACGTCCGGGTGGTGCTTCCCAGCCAGAGGGGATTCAGGGCCTGGTTTGATTAAAAATGACGAAAGGGCTAAGAAAAAATCAAAAATATCGAAAACAACAATTCAACAATAGCACTTACTGAACGTTTGACTCCTGCAATATCTCATAGTCTTCACTGTCTTAGCCATCATCCGCTGTAAGACAGTAAACAACAGTCAGCAGTGTGCAATTGCATGAAAACTAAAAAAAGAGAAAGAAATTCACACCAATTGACAGACAATGATCTGCACCTGCTGAGCCTTACCATTTTCTCAAAATTGACCAAATTGTCGATAAATGTTTTGTTGCCCTCGTGAGTGAATGTCATGTCTGTGGGAAATAAAAGGAAAACAGAAAGACAATTGTCGAGAGTTAAAGGTGCTGGAAAACAGGTGCAACCCCAAAGTAATCAAACTGCAATGAGAGTGAACAGCCGACAGGTCAACAGGGCTGACCTTTTATCATCAAGGGCATGAAGGGAATGACGGGAGGGTCCAGTTTGGCAACAGTGAGTCGATACGCCCGGTGGTTCCTGGACGGATCCTGTAGAAACATTCAAACTGTCCTGAGATCTTTACTTGGCTACTTCAATTGCAAAAACACTCCTGCAATTTTCCTACTTGTCAAAATACAACCATAAACTTTTCAGGTTTTTATGTGTTAAAGATAAACATCAATTTATTGGAAGCCAAATTATATATTGTGTCAGTTTTTCCCTAGGGTAGCTGTGCCTACAGTGTAGTTTTCCACCATCAGTGTGTGAATAAATGCATGAATGACTGAATGTAGAGTCTCCTGACTTGAAAAGGTGTTATACAAGTACAGGGGAGGTTATTTACTACTACAGTTACTGTGCTTTATCTTGAGCTTCATGTCATGGCCACTATTATGTTTCATTATAGGGATCAAATGTTTAGAGTGATAAACGATTAACTTTTTTCACTCACAGGCAGCATTTGTATGTACGATCAAAAAGTTTTATTAATTGATGAGCTGCTCTCAAAACCCTGAATTTAATGAAGAAGAAAAATCTGAAAAGTTATTTTTTGTGTTCAGGCCAGTTTACCCCAATCGTTATAATGAAATCTGGTAAAAAAAAAAAAAAAAATCTTACAGAAGTTGCCTTAAGTATAATTAAATGTAAAACATTCTCAGTAGAAATTTAGGTGCTCTCCAAAGGCCTCAGAGGTTTGTTAGATAATACACTGCAGACTTCAGGCCAAGGAGCAAGGGTCAGGTATTTAAAATAATATCTGGTGCTTTCATTGACAGACTGCTGCATCCTAAATGCACCAGGTAGCGTTATCACAGATCCTTCCTCCCAGAAGCTCTAAGACTTTATAACCATCCCTGTTCCCAACAACTTCAATAAGTTGTGACATTGAGGCTGATTTTTGCACATTTTGTACCTTAGTCAATTAAATAACATGCTGCTGTCATTTTTTTTTTACACATTTCTGGTGTTGCTGATATTTTCAAATATCCATTACTCTACAAATGTCCACAGCTGTATATTGATTATTCTCCAGATACACAGTATTTATATTGTAAAAACATTATACATTACAGTATTTTATTTGTTTATTTTCTTAACTCATTCTGTTATTTTTATACACTTTTTTGAAGGTCCACATTTATGTGACCACTTCTGCTATAATGTTTTGCTGCTGTAACGCCACAATTTCCCTATTGTTGGACAATAAAGGATTTTCCTTTCTATTCTATTCTATTTCTAATCAACATCATATAGAGCACCAAACAGGAGAACCACATTTCAGTACGCTTTTATATCTAATCCTATAGAATTCACTATTGACTGTATTTTCTTTTCCTTCAAAAAAAATGTTTTATGAATCGATAGACCAAAATCTCATTAATTCAGCAGTAAAACCAAGTGACAGGAAGAGGGCTCATCAATATGCAACGGAGATCTGCCATTTTATACTGTTTTGGACTTTTATTCAGTTTAAGTTTTTACTTTGCGCTTTTCAGTTACTCTCAGATTAATTTTATTCTGTGTTTTCTTTTATCCTGTTTTAAGTTGTATTATATTATGGTTTTCTTTGTTTTAGATGTTTGCTCATGTATTTTTTTTAAGGTTTTACTTTTTGATTTATATTTTCCTGTGTTTGTATTTAAGATTTGCCTGGTTTTGATTTATATGCTAGTTTAAAGTTTTTCTTGGTGTTTCAGTTACCTTTTTATATTTATTTCCTATAATAATAGGATAGTTTATAATTTAATTTAATTAATAATTTAATAATTTAACTAAGTCTTTTGTCTGGCCTTTTCTTCTTTAGTGGTTACAGTTATCTTTAGGTTATGTTTATCCCTGGGTTTGAATATGTTAAACCCAGGAAAAAGTTTTTTCCAGCCTTTTACCCAATCACCCGTATCTCTTTTTGCTCCATCTCAGTTTATTCCAGTTAAGTTTGAATTCTGTTGTACTTCCCAGTTGCTCTCTGTCACCCTATACTGTCCGTCTCCCTTAGTTCTCTTCCAGTTCCTACAAACCTCTATACATTCTTGACAGGATCATGATTATTATGATTATTTCTTTTATTTTTATTTTATTCATATTCTATAGCTGCTCCTCTCCTCTCATATGAGCTGAGCCAAATTAATATGTAAAGAAATTTAGCCTCCATTTGTTATCTTTAAATGTGTGTTTTTATTGTTAAATATAATATTCTATTCTTAAATGTTGTGTTTTCATTAGCTGTAAGTAGAAACCATCATAATTTATAAAAATAAAGGTTTAAAAAAACAGTTTGGGTCTGATTAGTATATACGTTTCACTTAGTTAATGACACAGGTTAATCATAATTATATTTATTAAATAAGGCTATATTCTATATTTACAAATAGTGGATATACGTTAATATTCAAAGACTGTTTTTCAGATCAAAAATCTGAATGTAAATCAGGGAGCATTGTTCAAACATGAGAAAAGTTTGGCATAAATGGAAAACTGCAAAGACATGGCAATCCCCCTGTGAAGAGGCTGAGGAGCTGCAGAGAGCAGCAGCTCAAGGCTGATAGTCTGTTCACACCACATTTATAAGCCATGCACTTCATACTTCTGTACTATGCGGAGCTTAAAGAGGAAACTCGAAATAAGAACTGTTTCTGATTCACCATAAATGGACACATGGATGAAGAAACTCTGATCAGACATGACTAAATTTGATCTTTTTGGGTTACATGCAATAGACTGTGTGTAGTATAAAACAATTACAGAACCATCTTCATGTTGAGATTGCTGGTGTCAGAGTCATACTGGGAAAATGCTTTCCCACAGCAGGGAGAGATAGGCTGGAATGTGCCGATGAGGTAAAATAATTCTGGAAGAAAACCTGTCAGAGGCTGCGAAAGAGGTGTGACTGGGACATAGTCTCACTTTGAAATAGGGTGATGAACCTAAACACACAACCATAGCTACAATAGAATGACATGAAAACAAATCTAAAATCACAAGTTGGCTTTACAGATTTCCATTATTAAAAAACTTTAACTAGTGATTATTTTCCGTCCTCTTTCCAAACTTGTAATTTTTTATTAATCTGTTGCATGAAACCCCAAAAGAAAAACAATTAAGATTGTTTGATGGGTGTAAATACTTTGAAAAAACACTCTTAAAAAAAGGGGAAAATGGGAAAGGATTACCATCAGGTTTTCAAATTCTCCGAAAAACTTCTTAAATTTGCTGGGAAGTTTCTGCAAACATTAACAAAAGAAGGGAAGTTAAGGTGCTGCTAAGCTAGAAGTTGACCAAACAGACGGTCGCTCACCTCCCAGGTCTGACTGAGTCTGCTCACCGCCGGGTTACTCAAACCCATAATGATGGCAAAGAAGGCATTTAGATTCTTGTACTCCTTACAGCTATACAGAGGATATGAAAAGTAGGTTAAAATATTAAATCATTTTAGTAAGCAGCAAACTGGCCAACTCCTTAGAGGAAACAGAACCACGTACTGAGCAGCAATCTTGATAAACTTCTTGAGGAGCTGAACCCTTTTGTTCAGCTGGGAACACAGACAAACCTCTGTGATTACCCAGAACTGAATTTCATTAAATCTCTGCAGGAAGAGATCCAGGTTCACAGTCGTTTTGTTGACGTTCTGTCTCCCAAACGTGTGATAGATAAGTTCCAACTGGAAGAGAACAAAAAAATGACTTATCTTCTGGGTTTAGTGTCTTAAAGGGTCCACTAAAATAAAAAAGTACACACCAGCATTAGATGCAAATTTAATTAAACAGTTATGTCTAATGGTCTGCATTACTCTGAAATACCTCATGTACACAATGGAAAAGCTCCCAGTCATAGAAAGTCATGTGGTAAGCCACGTCTTTGGAGCTCATCAACTCGAAATTGGCAAGCGACCCCACAGATGGACCCTCCTGTTCAGGTAGAGGCATCTAGGAGGCGCAGAAGATCAGATTAAACTCTCAAATTATCCATGTCTCTTTTAACTATTTAACCAGATTGTAACGGATTATGTTACGATTTTATAAGATAAACCAAAGAACATGTTGCAGTAAGGGGGGGGGGAGACGGTGCATAATTGACGGTTTAAGTTTTTTCCATTGTAAAAAGCCTCACAATTAGTCCACTTTATTAATTCCAACGGGGTCAATTCATTTGAACAGTACACGAGACAAACAAACAAAAATAAACAAACACATAAAAAAAGATTATTAAAAAAGAAAAAAATGTGACAGTGATCTTAAGGACCAACATTAATAAGAAAACAATAAAAAAAAAAACATAGAAAGACAGCAAAAATCTTAAAAAAATAAAATAAAAATGAAACACACCAGCCACCCTACATAAAATTTAAAAGTGTAATGGCTAAAAGTACAAGAGCGAGTGCGTTCTTAGAACTTGTCTACAGGAAATCCCTCTGAGAGTCTGTTCTAGATTTAACCATCAAAAGAGACTGAAAATGTTCTGCAAAACATCACAACTCAGCATGTATAGAGAACGTTCCTTAACCGCATCTTTAAGTCTTTCCACAGAGTTCCTAATATATTTGGACCTTATCTTAATTTCACTTGTCTAATAGATTAAAAGGTCTTCAACCCTCGTTCACAGGAGCCACTGTCCTCACACCTGATATTATTAAAGCCATGTGAATCTGTGAGGCTTAAGGAGACAATAGGTTTTAGCTGATGCAGACTACTAAGAGGTTAAAAACACACACAGATGGACTGGATTTAATAATTATAATTACCTCAAGGCAATATTATTTCCTTTTAAAACCAATGAAGGCATCAAGTACATAAAAGACAGTGAATTGACACTTTCATAAAGAGATTTGAATATAATTGTTTTTAAAAAGCAAAGAAAAAATGTGTTTATTAATAAACTCAGGCTATTTAATAACATTGATGGAGGAAGTGTGATAATGCAGCAGACTGTAGACGTTATCATGATAAGATCCCTTTGGTTGAGTCAACACACCAACACATCCAGCTGGTCCCTCTGACAGGCAAAGAGTCGTCCATTTATGCTCAACGTGGAGAAGACAGAGACATCGTTTGGCTTGAAGACAACTTTCTCTGCCAAGAAGAAATTATTAAAAAATTAAGTTATTCAAAGTTTTGAAAGTATATGAAAGAAAAAAAAAGAAGCTTTCATTACAATGATGTGTTATTCTCTATACAATTAATCTGTTTGGGTATTTAACAACACCAAAAGTCTGAAAATAATGGCAAAACAGGAAAAAAAAAATGCATACCTTTAATTGTAATACATTTAATTGTTTGAAAGCTGACTTAAAAGAATTGTTTAATAATCAAAAGATTTAGTCATGCTAATGCATTTAAACATGATGAGACTGAGAAGCCTCCAGCAATATTTTCATATATTCATATATTTTTAAATCCAGATTTCTAACTATAAACAAGAAAATGGCTTTAAGAAAAGCCTGTAGACTCTTGTGGGTAATTTCTTTTTTTAAATAAACTTCTAAGAGAACAGCAATCAAACCGATTACCTTTATTTTAAATATTGTTTGGTAAATGTTTAACAAAAATATGACAAAATACTTTAAAAAAGTCAAACAGAATTTTAAAGCCATCTAAACAATTCCTTAAGGTCAATTTAAATAAACAGCATATTAATTATCACATTGATTACAAATGCAAAAGGCCACACTATAGGATCTACTGAAGGTTTAATTAAAGTCATAAGGAATCGATAAGGAAAGAAAATTTATCATCATATCTGTGATCCTGGTATTTCATTCAAGCAATTTCCTTGTCATGTCCAGCTGTTGCTTCTGCCTCTCTCACCTCCGGCTGAACTGAGGCCCACCAGGATCAGATCCTCTGCTGACCCCAGCTTGTCCGCCACAGCTTCCAGGACCTCCCCGACCGAGGACGCCACAGAGACCCTGATGGTGGTGTAGGTGTGGTCACAGCAGAACACTTTGAACAGTACTGCATGGAAAAGTTGGAAGAGATAGAAAAAAATAGATATAAAACAGGATTCAAGCTCTGTAAAGGATCAATAGAATCTAAGATGCGACAGATACATCAGAGAGGGATTGTATTAAGCCTCCTACCTGTGATACCTTCAAATAAAATGTAGTAAATTGATAGCAGATTCTATGCTGTTATTATTTGTTCAATAAAAAAGGTCATCCTAGCATTTGGAAGCTTCTAAAATCACCTTTGGGAGGAATTACTTATTAGAAGCCATTTTCTGATGGACTTCCTCACATTGGTTTGCATAAATATTGTGTCTTTTATGCTATGAATCCCTTGCTTCTATAACCAAGACTGCTTCTATTGCTTTGCTTCTATAGAGCTGGTTACATCAGGTAAACATTAACTAATCAAGCACATCACTTCAACCGCACTCAGTGGTTACTGTACTGCTGCTTGTTCCAAATTTGTCTAGATTTCCGGGAAACAATGATGACAGAATTTTTTCATACTTTGTGCAAATCTAATGGATTAAAACACATAATTAAGAACCTGTTTTTTTTTTTATTGTGTCCTAAAACGTTAGAAGTGAAAGTGGCATCCTTTATTTTCTACCATCACTGCACACTGCTCATCAGCACTCACTTTCATCATCTCCCTTGATTGGCTGCCGTCTCTGAGGCTTCTCGTCTCCCAAATTGAAATGCTGCAGAAGGACTTTGTGCTGCAACAGGAATGATCTTTACAACAGAGCAAAATGAGCAAATTTCTGCATAAAAATGTGAGATTTTTTACCTTTCTCTGTGCGGATCTGGCATCTTCTGCACTAAAGGAGAATCAGGAAGAGCAGTTTGATCTGTGCCTTATTGTTTACTAATGGGAAACAAAATATTATATAGAATTTATAATACATAATGCAAACTAACCTGCTTTTTGTTATTCTTTCCAGCTCTGTAAGCTGATCCCTGAGGTCTGGAAGTACTTTGGCATCCTCTGATACAGCCAGGACAAACTCCTGTACAATACAACAGTCTTTAAGTGCAAAGGTTTAAAAATGATGAGGTTTTTAGCTAGAACAGAATAAGGAAATTTTTGCAAGATGACATATAAAAAATGTATAAATTGATGTTTTGTTTGGTTTTTTTGGGAGAGGGTGCAATTAAAATGCGGGTCCAAGATCTAAATCTGTAATAGTACCTGAATGTTGAAACAATCCAAGTGTTTTAAATCTGGGATGTCAACCTCATCATTTTTAATATAGATACTTCTAAGCTCTTTATAAAAAAAAGTTGCATTTGTTATCCTCAACAGCATATATTATAGAGTCACATATGCTGTTTAAGTGCCCCTGTTTTTATAATAAACAAACTAAGTCAGTTAAATAATTGTTACGACTGACCTCCAGGAAGACCATGTCCTCCTGCTGCAGGTGCTCTCCGTGCACGCTAGCCCATTTCATCAGCAGACGGATCACCCGCCGCTTGTTGTTCAGAGTGTAGTCCAGCTTCTCCAGCTCAGAGCCCTGCGAGGCCTGAGCGTGGTAGCTGCAAGGCCGTTAAAGAGAAACACAACTACAGTAAAACCTGTTACACTTCTGATGAGTTTCACTTGGGGATGCCTTTTCCTCATGTCCAGAAAGCTTGGGGCAAAAGGATATTGGTCTCTTAGCACCGGACATAGCTGACTGTTGGGGATGAAAACGCAGTGCGTAAGCACAAAGTCATCTAAGGCTGAATCTGAGATGAATAACATAAAAAAGATTGGGTTAATAGCACATCAAATACACCTTCAAACACATGGCTGCTCTGTCCCCTCCATATGTGTCCTCATACATGGCGTTAATTAGATCAGCACTGTGATGTGGAGCTAATTATAGACGAGAACAAACGGGTCAGTGCAGAGCAGACCACAGATGTGGAGCCAGAGAGAACGAACACACAGCACAGCTGAAACAGCTAGGGGCATTTGCATTCACCCCCCTTACTTTGATACCCCCCAAATGAAAACCAGTTCAAACAACTGTACTACTACTTAAAGGTATAGTGAACGATTTTTGCAAATTTTTTAAAAGACCTGCCCTCTCCACTTAAAAAAATACAAATAATGCACATGCAAAACCCTGTACCCCTCCCGAGCGGGAATGCCTATTAAATGCATGCGAGAGCATGCATGAGCGCATTTCTCCTCGTGCATGCTCTGTTTAAAAGTTGCTGTTTGCAAATCCTCCACTTTACCTTTAAGTAATTTAATCTGATCTGAGGGGCTTGTTAGAGAACTTTGGTGAACAAACAACATCATAAAAGAAAGAAACACAGTAGACAGCTCAGGTAGAAAATTGTAAACGAGTTAAAGGTTAGATTTTAAACCAACCTTGGACATCTCAGTTAACCACAACATAGCCATGTTTCTAATGCTCTTTCCTAAAAGGTCAGGGGAGGAGCATGCTTATCAAATAAGCAACCATGAGACCAGCGGTAACTCTGGAAAAGGTAATACACAGTTGGTGATGGTATTTTTACATACTATTTATGTGATCTTCATGGTAAGATGAAGATCACAAACCAGGCAGACACACAAAACATGTAGAAGATGAGGCTGGGCTCGGGTGACACCGAAACTGAACATTTCTGCTTAGAAGTGATCATTATGTTGGAAAAACCAACACAGCCTGATAGTGAAGCCAGAGTTCCTCACCAAGGTCAAGGAAAAAAGTTTTAATGCTTCAAAAGACTTTAGTTCAGGATGCAGGTTTAGCTTGCAACTGACCAGCAGCCCTAAAAACATAAAACCAAAGCATATCCATGTATAAACATGGCCAGATGTAAATCCAAGAAACAGTGGTAAGACTTAACAACTGATGTTTACAAACTCGTTCTATTAAACTTGAATGTGTCTAAGCTGTTGTGCAAAGAAGTATGAATGAAAATCTCTGCCCAAGACCTGCAGGTCAAACTGCAGCGAAAACAAAAAGTCTACAGTGAAATAACTGGAGGACTGAACACATATTCACACAACACTTAGACATAACTTCCAAAGAAAATGTTGAAATATGAATCTGTTAAAGCTGCAACACACTTTTACAACACACTTCAGTTTGTGTTAGTAATGTCAGAAAATCTGAGAAAGATCAAGGTAATGTAAATTAATAATGTGAAACTCTGTGTTTCATACGATGGGCAGCACCTGACTCGGTGAACTGAGAATCCAAACGCATCATTTCGAGAAGGTGCTCCAAAATCTTCTCTGGTGTCCCGGAAATTATGTTGTATCTGGAGTGACACAGAACAACAAAAAAACACACATATACCCTTCACTAATCAAGATAAACAGACTCTTAATCCATAGTGGCTCGGCTACGGGTCCTCAGCTGATTTCTCTCCCTTCAGCGTGAGCCTGTGATTGCTTCATTTGATAGCAATCCTATTTACAATCAGTGTTCCTGAACATGAAGAGGAGGATCAGATAAGAGCCAGGAGGAAATTCTAATAAATACATTTATAAAAAAAAAAAGAGGGAAATGCAGGGGCTGCTTCCACGTGAAGGAGAATGAACACAACCCAGACTTGGTTGTTTTTATTACTTGATAACAGCGTGACAAGAGGGATGGGAGATACAAAAGCAGGGACATGTCTTCCCTTCTCATGGGGCAGTACTGACACTCTTGTGTGTCAAGAGCGGAGTTGATTAGAGGGCAACCCTGAACAAGTAATTGTGACTTGCCAAGCCTTCTTTTACCCCCAAGAGCCAGGCCATCATTACCATTAATGTGTCTCTGTGTATTTCAGCCACCGTGGGGCCGTGACAGATGCCTCTATTAGGAAGCAACACTTGCTGCTGATGCAGCTATAGCTACTTCACACTGACTCCACAGATCAAGTTGAAACAAATAAGGCCGTTTAGTGGTTTGAGTTAGTTTGGTGTAAAATAATACAGCCCATTCAATAAAACTGAAATGTTTTTTTTTATATGACTGCACTTTAAAGCTGAATTGATTTCAAGCATATAAATAGAATTAATTAATTTGACTTTCTGTTCATTGTTGATATAATCAGTAAATGTCTGTGATGGGTATCCGACATCAATGTGTGAGTGTACAACTAAGTCAAACATGTTTTTTGAGGTGGTTGGTGAGTTAGTTTACTTGTGGTGAGCTGCAGAGGATCCGTGAACAGAGTTTCGGCTGCTGCTGAGACTCTTCTCAAGCACCAGAACATCTTGACCATGCTCCTTTAGACGCACAGTGTTGGCCTCAACATCCTTCGTGATGAATGAAAACACACATAGAGAACATTAGGGATCTATTCAGTTAAATACTTGAAATACTAGTGTTTAAGACAGGTTGAACATATTATAGAAAGTTTTGGAAAGCTGGTTTTACTGAGAATTTTTTGTAGACTTTTATTAAGTGATACGACTCCCATTATATCAGGGGGCGGCATTAACAAACGGCAATAATTGATGGTTGGTAAATGTTTATTAGCCATAAATGTAAATGGCTTTTGCTTGTTTTTTTTTCAGTTTTGCTTTTATTAAATTTTTATCTATATTTCCAAAACTAGAATTTAAAAAGGTTTTAAGAAATTTCACAGCCTTTTATTAGATTTTTTGTTTGTTGAATTTTACCCCAACTTGTATTAACTATGAAATGTATATGTTGGACGAATTAAGTCTGTGTCAAAGCCTGGCAGGATAATCTAAATATAGGATATTTTAAAGAATAGTTTTCACATTTTGTATGCCTCTATTATGCATCTATAGCACAAAACTTCCCCAGTTCTAAAACCGTACACAGATCCTATATAGATCGCCACAATCAAGAAAATATGAATGGAAAAATATATATATTTTTTATTATTATTATGAAGAGCTAAGTTTATGTGTGGGTTCTCTTCTACCTTTAAAATTCAGTCCTTAAAAATGTGTTTTGATTACTTATCTTTTGGTTCTTTCTTTTTTTTCTCATTCTTTTCTTTTAATTCATGAACAAATGTGGTTAACCTTATAAAGACAAGGAAAACATTGCGAAAAAGTTTTGGCCAAATTGGTATGTCAAAAAACAAATAAAAAAACAAATTAAGATAAATTACATCAAGTACCAGACAAAGACCTGTTGTGTAGAAATCCACCATTATTATCATTGATGAAAAGAGTGAGAATTTACAGTATGTGGGAAACTCCATATTCTTAATTCTTATCATATTAGCAAAACTTTACATTCATCCAGGATTTTTAAGTCCAACTATGAACCTTGTAAGTTGGATCATGAAACACCGAGAAAACATTCATCAATAAGCTCTTACTTTTTATTCTTTAACCCCCTTAGGGCATCAGAAACATTTTATATGCAGAAAAGTCTAAAAAAAAAAAAAAGAGAGAGAAAACTTTTTTTTTTACTGATCTCATATTTTTATTGTTTATTATTTATTTTATTGTTTATTATTTTATTGTAATGTAATAAAAAAATGTCCTTTTAGCTGATTAATTAAAATCTGTAATCAGCAAAAAAATAAATAAGTGAAAATCAATTAAAAGGAACACATCTGGCTGCATTACTTTATATCTGCCAGCAGGGGGCGGTAGTGTGTTTAACTGGTAATCTTACAGCATCACAAGATGCTGCCCTTAAACTCACCCTCAAAATCCTGTTGAAATCCTCCTTGTCCACTCTCAGGAAATGACAGTTGTCCTCTCGAAGGACAATGGAGGCAGCTCTGGGGGCGTCATTGACCAGTGCCAGCTTCCCAAAGTCATCTCCTTCATGAAGAGTGCAGACAACACCCTGTGTAACACAACACACTGGTCGGTGACTGTTACTTCAATTTAAGATAGAGTCATTACCTGATTTTCTTCATATTTTAATTTAAAGGTTAAATAACATACTTTTCCATAGATGACGACATTCACTGAGCCTTTTAAAATTATGTACCAAGATGTGCCCTCCTCTCCTTGGTGGAACACTGCCAAAAGACAAACTCTGGTTCACATGATTTGGAGGTTCTTTCCAAAATTTGCCAGATTTATTATTAGATGGTTTCTAAATAGTCGATATTTACTCACACACTGTCCCTGCTCTCTCATGGGACTCAAAGATAAGAACTCCTGCTAGCTCCCTCTTCACCTGCCAAAGTAGGAGAAAACGTTTTTAGAGAGAGAAGACCAATTCAAACATGAAAACAAGTGATAATATTTATAGGATTTTTAAAACTAAGGGTAAAAGTCCAGGTGTTGCAAATAGAGTGTTTCAAACTTAGTCATTTTAGCACATTTAGTCAAACGTGTATTCATTTTTTTTTTTTTTTTACAAAATAAATAATGTAAAAAGTGTTGCAAGCATCTGCATTCAGGTTTCCTGAGTCAATACTTATTAAAACCACTTTTTGCAACCATCATAACTGCAGGTCTTCCAGGCTTTGGGTCAACCAGATTTTCACATCTACAAACTAATATTTTCCCATTACTCTTAAAAATTGCTCCAGTTCCATCAGACTGGATAAAGAGCTTTTGTTAACAGCAATTTTTAAAGATTTTTGTCGAAACTTCTGCAGTCACAGGGGACTGCCATATCTCCAGGCCATGCTGAATGTCTCAAAGCTCCTAAGCTAATGATGGCACAGTGTTACAGAATATATTGTAACTGAAGCATATGTGCAATACTGTATGTATTTCACCTCAGTGTTTCCAAAGCCGTATTTAGTCTAAAGTAAGAGTGCTTGAAGGCAGGGTTAGTTAAAAGCAGACTGGTGGAACCGTCCACAATGACATGACAGTGTTTATTTGCTGTGACAAATGTTTGTAGAATAGCATAGATCTTTAAGACCATATACACCAAGTTGATGATTTTATAAATTGCTATTTTTCTTTCTTTTGTATGTATTTTGTATTATGTGCCTATTCCCATTGGCTCAGATAAAGCAACTAAGCACACAAAAAATTGTTTAAATGTTTGTTTTGGACTTCGGGTATAGACCTCTTACGTCCCTGCAGATGGATCTGAAACTTTGACTAGGCCACTATAACCCATGTACCCTATAAACATGAAGGATTTTTCATCTGACCAAAGAAAATGTTTTTTTTTTCTAAAGTGTGCTGATTACAAAAAACATATTTGAAATGATTTGAAACAAAAATAATGCAAAATTTAGATTAAAGTCTGAGATGGTAAGAAAATGTAAACAAAATGTTTTACATATGTGAACAGTTTTGGAAAGCACTTCACACAGGTGGACATGTATTGTTCTAATTATATTCCTACATTTCTTCTTCCCCAAAAAAGCAACAGAAAAATCTAATTAAAGCTCAGAAGACTGAATTTTAATGATCCATTTAGTGATAAGATCCACTAGTTAGTAGACAGAAAACCTAGTAAACTCACAGTTGTTGATAGGTGTGATAAGGCCTTTATATGAAGTAGTTCTTCATAAATGATCTCCAAGTCATCCGGTGATCTTTCAGAAGGTCTGAAAATTAGGAAGTAGAATAAATAACCAAAAATCTATTTCACTGATTTGCTTTTCTGTAGTTATGATGTTAGAGCCCTACGGTTTCCTTAAGATCATCCTCATAAGAGCATCTGGTCCAATCTGTGAGAGGAAGAGCAGAGTGTCCTGCAGCTCCCCCTCGCTCTCCCTCATGTCATCATCACTGGGTATCAAAGCATCCTCCTGCTCATCGTCCAGGAAGCGGTAGAACAGGTACTTGTCCTGGAAGCTTGTCTCTCCGTCCACTGTGAAACATAAAAGCAGGTGGGACTCCCAAAAGCTGCTGTGATTGTGTCACATGTTCAGGCAGATGTCACACAGGGTCTAACCATGGTTAAGGACACCTTCCTCCAGCAGCACCTGCCACATGCCCACAGCCTGGAGGCGGGAGTGGACACAAGAGCTCTGCAGCATCTGCCAGTCGACCAGCTCTGTCCCGACACAGCATTGCCTGGAGAAAATTAATACAGAGGCTCAGAAATTATAGAATTGTCTATGTCCTTTATTGTCTTTAAATTTGGGTAATTCCTTTTATTTGACTGTCTGACCACGATTTACTTAAGATTTTCTTGCTCCTTAAAAAAATGAAATCAATATGTTTTTATCAAACTCAGGTGGAAAAAAAACAAATAAGGGTTAGTTTTAATTAAGGTTAAAACAAATCTAATATGTTAATCACAAGCTTGTATTATCATTATCTTTGTCTCAACAATGTCTAATAGAAAATAATTATTCTGTAGAAATGTTTTCATCTACTTTATTGATCTCACACTGGAGAAATTTACCTCTGCATTTAACCCATCCCCTTGAGGAGCAGTGGGCTGCCACTGTGGTGCGCCTGGGCCAACACCATAATTGTATGCTTAGAGTCAGAGAGATATTTGAAACAATAGTTTTAAAGATCACTTCAACTGATTGGAGCTGGACAACCAATACCTGATTATAAGCGTTAGGGTAGAGGATGTTTGAGTTTGCTGGTACCTGTCTCCAGGTGAAGAGGAAAAACCCTGGAAAGGTCTTTAATCTATCTGAGGAACAACTCTTTAATGGAAATGCATAAACTGATGGTTATATGTAACATATAAAAATAACAGAGTGAGTACTCTCTCCACAAAGATAATATAAATACACCACATGCAGCTTAACATGCCAAATTAGCATGTTAACTTGCATTGGAAACAGTTATTCCACTAGGATAATTAAAGAATAGCTGTCAAGACTTAATACATAAATGTATCTTAAAGATAAAAAAATGGGTCCAATATTTTCATTTTTACAAATTATCATTAAAACATTTGCACCTTTTGCATTTTGCATCCTTCTATCCACACCTGCTCCCAATTGGTTTATTACCCCAGGCTTTGTTCTGTTTGACATATATACTCCTCCTCTTCAGTTACGTTTGCTGGACTCTATTCATTATCACCTTAACCCATTTGTTCCCCTTTGTTCTGCTTCCTGTGTTCTTGTTCAGTTATTTTTGGATTTATGCTTCAGTTGCGACCACTGGTTATTAAATCTGCAAGAAACCACCTCAGCTTCCATGTAGGTCCTCTAAAAACCATAACAACATAGCAAATGTACTAAATCAATTACTGCTTTTTTTATTTTTCTGAATTTGAGTTGTGATGTGTTTTTGTGTGTATTAGTGTCTAAGCCAAGTGAACAAGAGTATTTCTAAATGCAGCTACTGTCTGATCTTAAAATCATTATTTTGCCTTCCCTTCAATCAACAGATGTGTAACTTTGGTCTGAAGTGATTTTTTTAGGGCCAAAGCACACTGAGAGGAAACAAAATGCGGATTCGCAAAGTTGTGGTTTTGACAGCTATATCATCTTATTGCAGTTAAACCCTTATCTGTGTATATACTGTATGTATCCCATGCACCTTTTTCTTTCTTTGGCACATTCTTCTTCTTTGACTATTTGAGCGAATGTAATGACGAAATTTCTCCACTGTCAGATCGATAAAGTCAATCAATAGGTAAGCCATACCTTGTGAGAAAAGTGAGTCAGATTTTCGTTTTTTCTAATTAAAATGTTGCATTCCGTTTTCACTGTGTACATTATAGAGAGGCTTGGATCACAATGGTTATTTTAGATCCCTGAATAGGTGGTCTCTGAGCTACTTAAACAGAATCTCAGAGTTAGAGAAACTAACTGACCTGTAGGTCTTCAGGTGGTACTTTCTGTCCCGGATCATGTGAGGCGCTCTGGAAAGGATGGCATTGCGGAGGACCTTCCCCGCTCGCAGGATCTTCTCAGAGGGAACCTGAACAGTTTAAGCACATCATCTTGTTTCATACTACAGAAATATTTCATGACTGAGCTCCATCACACAACAGGTGCCTGAGGTTTCTACCTGAGATGGGCTTTTATTCTGAAGTTTGGCTGGACTTTCATGAAAGGACTTCTGCAAAATAGAATTAAATAAGAAATATATTTTCAACTAATTTTTAAGAGGAGTCATGGTTTATGGATGAAACAAAAAACATAGTCAGGAAAATGCCACTTACATATGGGCTCCGCTCCAACTAGGGAACCTGCCTCTGTAGGCTGAGCAGCTAATGCGCATCTGAGAGCCCTCACTCTTAGAGCTTCCATGTCTACATTTACTAATTTTGTTGTAAGTTCTGGACAGCTCTTATTATTTTGTCTTACACTAAGGCCCAGGGATGATCTGTAGAATCCTGACATTTAAAACACTTTCTAGATGCCTCAGAAAGCAATGTAATTCATACATTTATAAAGCTGATTCAGGCTCTCATGTTTACTACATGTGTCTCTGTCAAGTTAAAATCGCATTTTCTTAAAAGCTGCATGAAAGCTATCACAGCTGTATCTGCTTTTTTCTATAACTCAACAGTCGTGTTGTGACTAGATTGCTTCTCTGAAACAAAACAGGCACCATAAATCTGTTGTGGTGCCACGTTATCAGGCAGGAAATGAGTGCGGGGGAAAGGTGGGACAGGAACTGTTGAGGATGGAGACAAAAACTCCAGTCACCTTGTTTATGTTGGGACTAAATTTAAAACCACTTTGCCATTTTTTATTTATATCTATTAACAGATGGAGATGTTTCTAAATAAAAATCATTCAAGCAAAACAATATGCATTATCTCAAAATTGTGAACTCTTTCGTTTGCATGATTCAAAACTACATGCACTAATTTAAGAAAAATAGCCAGACCTGGTAACTAATTACACTTGTTAATATATGTTAGTGTAGCAGCATATTCTAACATTGATACTTTCAGAACATTTCCACCTTTATATGGGGAAAAAAAGTTTTTTTTTTGTCTGAAAAATTCCACTTTAAGAAACAACCTTTTTTTTTTCCCTGACAAAAACAGTGATACCACACTTAGTGGCTCCCCTACTGTTGGTAATCTACTCCATGAGAAGTGCTGCATTATTCCAAAAGGACTACACTCTACATTTTCACGTAACACTTTACCTGGGGCGGACTAAGACATTTTAGGCCCCAAGCAAACTTTTGTAAAGGGGTCTCTAAGTCTGCCTCAATGACCCAATGTTAAATATTTTCTAGGGCTGCCACAGTTTTCTGATTATAAAAAGGCAACATTTTAATGTTGACCCTCCCCTGTCCTAAACACCTATAGAATCAGTGACATCAGCCTACAGAGTTCAATAACGGTTTTAATGTGTCTAGGGGGAGTTGTCAATCCAAAAGGAGGATGCTCGATACAAAGTGGATGATCTGCTTAAATCAGCAAAGCACTAAAGTGAAGGTGGGCATTCAGATCCTTCCAGTGGGTTGGGGGAGGTAAGAGGGTTTAAATATTCCTTTATCGCCACTATATACAATAATTCAATACAGGAAGAAATATTCACATTATCACATTTTGTTATTGTTTTATTCTGTTCTCTCTAGAGTTGAAATTATTTCTCTTAGACCTTCATTAGTAGTTTGAGTTCAGCACTATTCATGTTAATTAGTCTTCCTCCCTCAGTCTCCCTGGTTTTGTTGTCTCTCGGCTGCTCCACATTCTCCCCTGATTTACTTACCTGCACTCCAAACCATTCTCCTCCCTGCCCTCAGTACTTAAGCTCACTGACTGTCATTGTTCATTGCCTATATTTTTCCCCTCTCATTTTAAGAGCTGTTTACTGCATGTTAGCTTTCTCTATTTTGCTATAATTTTTAGGACCGTAAGCCTGCTGTCTGCAATTTACTCACTAACAAAGAGTAAACATGACAATATTTTTTGATTCAAGCTGCTTTAATAAAATGTTCTGTTTACTGTAGTGACTACAAGTGATGAAGGAACAGTAACACAGTAACACAGTTCTGCTAGCATAATAAGCACCTTGTTTGGATGGCTGGACATTGAAACAAATGAACTGTTGCTTATGTTCTCCTTCTCTGGCATTCCTAATGGAAATAAGAGAAACATGCTGTTAAACACAGAATAGAAAAGTGAGATAAAAATCTACCTAGTAGATAGTCCAACAAAGAGGACAATTTATAAAAATAAATTAGATAACATGTTAATGGAGATATTCATGTTTTCTGCTAAAAAAAAAATGTTTACTCTGCTTTCCAAGTGATTTGTTTTGTCCGGCACATCACTCACTCTTCGACTGAATTTAAATCGAATTGAATTTTACAATAATAAATCCTATTGCCACAGGATTTCAAACATGTCATCATATAGTTATATTTAATACTGCAGCACGTAATCTTCATATTCATCAGAAACCATAAAAGAAAAAAATGTGGCCTGAATATGCGTCAAAAACAAACTGCAAGAAACCAAAGTTGCAGAAGCAGATTGAGATTGTTTTGTTTTTACAATCATGTGAGAAAGAGAAAAACGTATGTTTTTGCCTTAAGTCCATTTCTTTATAAACAGGTTATTTGTTTAGGAGTGTTAGCGTCTTGTGAGTTTCTTCAGGATAAGTATGTACTGCAAAGTAAATAGGTCAATGCAAACAGCTACATAAATCTTCTCCAACTGCCATAAATTAGTATTTCATTATCAGTATTGTAACTTGTATTGAACTGAATAAAATGTAGCTGTATCTGAAACGCTACTTAAATTTAATGGATTGATTTTAACTGAATCAGGATTAAAATGGATTTGTTTTTTTTCTGTAAAGGAGGATGTGATTACATTTGTTGTGAATTTGTTCTATATAAATAAACTTAATATTATTTTTTCAACACAAAAGTTATACATTTTTGAATTAGCAGAGTGAAAGTTGTGAGTTACATGTCTTGTAAATTTATATGGCAGAAGCCTCTGGCCTCCCTTGGTGCTGCCACTGCAGGTATGTGCATATTTTTATGAAAACCAAGTGTAGTCTTCATGAGAATAGAGGATGTAGAGAAACTGAAAAAAAAACTTTTAGAATTGAAACCTTTATTAGTAATACTGAACTAAAGTTACAATACTGAGATGTCTGGTAAAGTTGATCTACTCCACAGAAAAATAGATGGTTTTGCACAGAAACCTAAAGAGATGAAAACATATTAATGCCAGCAGGTTTGGTGGACTCTAAGTAAAATGTGATGTTGACACAATGACATTTACTGTTCTCTATTTGAATGCAGTGTAATATGTCTTGTTTTTTGTTTTGTTTTAGCTGAGAACAAGTTTGTGTTTTACATGATGATAAAAGTAGAAAAAAAAAAAAGTGTCACAACCTGGGGCTGTCAGGTTTCTGTTTCTGTTATGTTTTTCTTTTGAGTATCCAGTTTTGCTTTGCTCATTGTTTTCTAGTTTTAGTGGGTTAATTCTTAGTTTATTGTGTTCTTTGGTTGTTTTCTCAGTTAATACTTCGTCTCTCTGAGCCTTCCACGTTGAGTTTTATTCCCTGATGTCTCCATGGTTTTCTGGTTTGTTTTCTTCTTATTTTTTCATGTTTTAAATTTTTGATTTTTTTGACTCCGTTTCATGTTTGTTTTTTTGGACTTTGTTTTAATTTTGGATTCTTGGTTGCCTGTTTGTTTGGACTTTGCTTTTTCAGTTTCCCCTTCATTAAACCAACCAAAAATTCACCTCTGCCTGCCTGCCTCTGCTTTTGGGTCCTCAACCCTCAAACAAATCCTGACAGGGGCGTTGATATTTACATTTAATTGTGACAACCCAGATTTGAATCATCTTTGAATTCATTTGGGACTTATGAATAGCTCAGTCCTTTTGTTTTTTTGGGTTATCCATAAATCTAAGTGGCATTGCTTCATGCTTTAAATTGTATAGCAAAATTTGTTTAAAACAAATAATTGCTTTGGTTTTAATAGTCATAAATTAATTAATAAAAACATGGTTTTGCTGCATGAATCAAATCCCATAGGAACAGGACTTTGTGATTTTTAAAAATGAGTAAGAGCCATCAAGGCTGTTGAATATTAAAAAACAGAGAAATGTTTTTCACAAAACCTTAACTTTAAGGTGTTAGAGATTAAAGGGATATATTCTGAAATTGTTAAAAGTGTGTCAGTCGTTTATGAACTCCTTTAGAAGAAAAAGCTGAGCAGTTTCCAGTTTATCCACTGTCAGTAAACAGTTTTTTTAATTTCCTCCCATGAAACTGCAGCCCATCATTTTTATGCTACATGACTTAATATTAGGTTATAGCTATTCACAAAGCATATATTGGGTTAACTCAAAGCAGAAAACCATGTTTCATCTTTCAAAATGTCAGACAATAGGATTGGGGGAGGGGTGGGGGTCACCTATAGTTGGGTAAACAAAGAGAATACAATATTCTTTTTTTGTTTTTGCTTAAATTTCTTGCATAAACCCTTAAGCATAATCTGCTTCAGATCTACTTTGGCTTTGTTCCTTTCAATAAATCTCAATAACTGAAAACACAAGTTCTATTCAAAGCAATTAATCAATCTAAATGCCTGAGTGTCACTGCATGCTCTTCTTCTACACGGAGGATGGGGATGTGGCATCAACAAATCTGTAGTAGTATGCTCATTTGATTATGTTTTAAACCTAAAAGTAAGAGGAGATCTTAAATCCTAAGGGTTCTTTCACCTCACATTTAACCACAGAGGTCTCCCAAATGGGAAAGATTGGCTTCTTGCTTTTAAAGCCAGATTTTAACAAAATATTTGGAGCAACATGGATTTCTATGGTGTTGAATGAGCAACACAGAGTAAACATCCACAATGTGAATAAATAGGTGGGAGAAGAGGGAGATTTTAAAAAAGCTGGAATCTGCTTTCATTGACTTCATTATAAATAACGATGAGAAAATATAACTTTCTGTTTGAATAAAAAGAGAAATAAGCGAGTCAAAAAACAATAAAAAAAAATATTTAACTCCATTTTAAATCAGATATTACTTTCTCATTCTTATGAAATTTTTGAATAGTAGCTGATTAAAAACTAGGGTTTTGCAATTTTTTCACAAATCAAATTTGCAATTTATCTTTTTTATTGTTCCATTTTCCTCTGTACAAACTACAAGGATAGACATGTTTTTTTTATTGCTTTAAATGCCCTTTTGTCCATATTACTTATGGGTTGAATAACTGCTTACATTTAGCTCACAAGTATTGACATGCTCGCTTCAGGATCTCTCTTTTCCCTTCCACCTAGAGGCCTGGTAGTAACAACAGTAAGCTTTTTTGTGGATGTCCAACACAAAATTTCTCCAAAAAATATAAATCAAGGTTGTTCAGTTGCAACATGAGGAAACTTGAAAAGCTTCAAGGATCTAAACAGTTTAGCAAGGAACTGTAGCTGATGTTAAACCCATGCTAAAACCTTTACCATGACATTTTGATTCTACATGCTGGGTTAACACAATATAGTAAGTACATATTCCTAGGAACTTGTGTGGCGTGTATTGTTAAACAGCTGACCCTATCCACATCCAGTGGGATATAAATGCAGCTGAAAATACACAAAGAAAGAGCTGTGTTGCTCAGAGATGTACATTGTCTTTACATTTAGTGAAAAAAGACACTATAGAAACAACATAAAACCTGAAAAATGCTTGAAAAAAACACAAAGAACACCCCAGAAGTACTTACTGTCAGATCCACTGCTCTCCATCACTCCATAGGGTGGAACAAGTAGTCCAGCCATGCAGTGACGATATTTCTACAAAACCAAGCCACAAATATATAGTTCAAATTTTCATACTTAGTTTAAAGTTGTCAGTGCCAGTATAAAAAAAGGTATGGTTTGGATCAAAAACTGTGTACTGTACATATCTAAGGTACAGTTGGAACAGATATTGACATACATTGTAAAAAGAAACATAACCATTAACCTCGAAAAGCACAAACATTCAGTTTATCTATAATCAGGTCAATGATATGGTGGTGCACTATTATAGCGCTAAAAAAGCTTAACTTGAGGCAAAGAAACTCCTATAATTTTACCACTCTAAATGAACTGTACTGTCTTTACTGCAACAGTCCCAGTGTGTGCTCTGTTGATAAGCATGGAAGATCATGCAAAGTTGAAGTTTAATGTAAATCCACCCCAATGTAGTGGGGTGGTTCTGAATGAGCTTCTTGGTTGTGCTGATGTCTCTTGTATACAACTTAGGGAACAACTAGAATGATTACTGGACCTCCTGTGGGAAACATAAATCTTTAGTGTTATTTGTATACTAAATTTTAGTAACAAGATGATTCAAAGTACTGTATGTTAACAGAACATGAGAGGAGAAAAACAAAGAAATGTAGCTTTCATGTAAAATATTTCAATTAATTCCTTTGTAGGACATAATAAACAAAATTTTTATCATCAAACAACCAAAACTGTGAGCTAAAATGTGATGATATTTTACATAATGACAAAAAAACCTATATAGTACATCATACAAACTTTAAATGACTAATTATCCCCTTTTTTTCCCCTGCTAAACTGTATGAATAGATGACCAATAAACCTTTGTACATTTCCCAGACATTAGAAAATTTACTGCATCCTTTTTGAAACCCTCGATTTGTGTCACAAACTACCTGTTTGGGACCCTCCTCGGATTGAAAAGAAGTTACTGCACAAGATTTTTGCTGTTGGTTTAGCATGTCATGTGATGTAATCTAGGAAAACAACAGCAGCTCTACCCAGGACAGTTGCAGTTTTCTTAGCCACTGACAATAAATTAAATGATTTTGTTATAACAGAAAATTAAAATAGATCATGGTTGTATGGAAGCGTATTGCACTCACCAAAGAAAAAAAAATCAGACAGCTTATCTCATAATTACGAGACAAGATCTTGTAATTGCGATTTAATCTTGTCTATATATTCGGTTATGATTACTTGAGCCAGTAATGAAGCATCTCCCAGAAAACTGGTCATCATGATTACTTCTTAAAAATATCTGCATCTGTTCCACTGAACAGGTCTCTGTGCCCACGTCTGTCCTGATACGCATTGGAGCTCCACACCTGTCTTTCACTTCATCAATAAAGTACCCAGCTATAATCCTGGGATCACTACTTGTGGAGTAAGCATGCAGCCTTATGAACATACATGAAAATCCATCAACAGCTCCATTAATACAGATTCCGTATAGTTTTATTTTTTCATATGAATCGACATGCCACATAAAGTTGGGACCTTGTCGTTTTAAATTATTCTAAAGCCTCAGCTGAACTAGTTCTTTGGGACAACACTAAGCAAGCTGGAATGCATTTCAGATGCATTCATTTAAAGCCATAAATCATCCCATGCTGGTTTAATTGCTCCTGCAGGAACAGTGCGACTTCCAGCAAGTCAGAGTAGAGTGGACTTTTTAGCCTAAACAATTCTAAGGACTTATTGCGCAATGCTGACAAACTAAAACTGATTCCATCCACATTGAGGAAACTCAATATTTCCCAGTGTCGCATACCTAAAAGGAAGTAAAAGCATATAAAATCCGACAACCCACTCATTGTTCACGTTTCACATAGCGTAGCTCGGCAATGAATGAATGATTTCCTAAATATCACATATTATCTAATAAGATCTCATCAGATCTTATCTCGTAATTATGAGATAAGATCCCATAATATTGAGATCAGGATCTCATAATTACGACATTGGTATCTCTTATAATTGTGAGATACCAATGTCGTAATCATGAGATCCTGATCTCAATATCATGGGATCTTATCTCATTATTACGAGATAAGATCTAATGAGATCTTATCTCGTTATTATGAGAAACGATTTCATAATTATGAGATAAAATCTCATAATTGCGAGATACCGATCTCGTAATTATGAGATAAGCTGTCTGATCTTTTTTCTTTGGTGAATGCAATATGCTTCTGTATGGTTTTCTCACTTTCAAAGAGAAAAAAAGTAAATGCATTCAAATCGGATTAAAACAAATCCATATCATTCGTCCGGTCTAGCCTGATATAAAAAGCTATTGGAAAAAGAAAAACATTAGTTTTGAGGAGAAAAACTATTAAAACATAGACAATGCTATGATGTCTGGTCTTAAATATTGATTTGGCATACTAATATTACAAGCATCATTCATGTGCATTTTCATTGCATAATGACGTAAGATGGAGGGCTTTCTGGATTCAGCACAGCAGTCTGGAGCTACTTTTTCACAAGGATAGTAGTCTGATTGCTGGCCCTGTGAAAGGTGAAGGGAATGGGATAGGAATTAGGAAGAGGATGCAGAAGCTATAATTTGAAGTACAGTATTAGGATTTGAGCCATGTATAATCAGGGACATGTAGAGAAAACTATTAAATGCAGGTGAGTTTATCAGGAGAAAATGTGACGCAGCTGGTAAAAAAGGAGCACAGGAAGACAGGATGGAGGACTGATCACACACACGTAACGTAACACCTTGAAGAAAATAAACTGACAAAAATATAAGAACACAAAATAGCGACAAAGGAAAAACCCAAAAACCAAGACCATTACACATTAACTACAGTTCTCTGTGATATTACCAGCAGTTAGAGAGGTCATCATGGGGCAGGTTCAGCACAGAGCAGCAAGGATTCAGAAGTCATCCTTGAAACACCCATCACTCCAACAAATCCAATAAAATGAGCAGCTACCTCAATCAATAAAACACATGCACTCCTTATTTTTATGCGTAAGCTTGTGTGTCACATTAAAAAATAAGGTTTTGTCAGCAAGCTGTCTGATACATGTAATTTTACAATGTTATTTTTGTATTATGAGAGTGCCTTGCTTTCCCATTTGTTCTTTTTTCAGCACTTTAGCGAGGTACCCACAGACTGCCACTTACAGCTATATACTATCATGTACTATTGAACAAAACCAGTGGAGACATTTTATTAAGTTTTATTAAGTAAACACTCAGAGGTAAGCTCCTTTGTTGTTTTTACTTATATTATTCTCTTATTTTATTCTCTCTTTAAGTTTATCATTAGTTTGGTCTCCACCATTCGGCTATACTCTATCAGAAAAAGGACTTCCCCCTCTCTGTCAAACAAAAAAATATTTTTCTTTGTAAAAATAAATTGACAAGCAGAATTTAAAACCTCTTTTCCACACGTGAAAAGTAATGTTGAGTTTTATTTCAGACAGAAATTATTCAGCAACGTCTGCCTTACTGTGCCCAGCAGCAAGGTGTTATATAACAGGCGCAATAAATAATCGTTCTGCACCAGTGCATTCATGCAAATGCCATGTTTTCGTTTACAACGCTGATTCAACAGAAGGTCAACCCTTATGCAGCCAATGAGCCAAAAGCAAATTCCTCATTTCATCCTTTAATTAAAGATTATCGTTAATAAATCCAAAGACATTTCATTTTATCGAAACTAGGACTAAATTAAAGGTCAGTGTCTCATCCTGGAATAAAACCCTACAAATTTACAACTCTGCTTTATGTTTTCTAATATATTAACATTTTGTAAGAATTCTTATTTATTTTAGAAAATATATCCAATTTGTTTGGTTAGTAACTTCAGTATAAAATCCAGTATCCAGTCTTTTCTAACATATACTTGACAACTCAAAATCGATTGGGGTAAATGGCACAGACTGATCTGTGCTGCAGAAACTAATGTTGAGTCAATATAAAGCAGACTGAGAGCCTATTAGCGCAAAGCTAATAATCTTTATCTTTCTATCTGCTGGTCAATAGAGACTGAAGGAAAATCTAAACCTAGGATTTCTTTGTCCTGAGAGGTCATGCTTTAAATTCAATTCTGTGCTCTGAAATCAGTTAATCTCTTTAAGGTGCCTTAAGGGAAACGAAACCTTAAATAAACGGATAACCTCTGCTTTTTTAAATGACCTACTCATCAAATATAAAGATTCATGTCACAGTCAATAAAGGTTTTAAAAATGTGTACAACTGAGTGGTTTGAACAAGCAACATATTTAATTAGATAAATCTAATCAATGCAAATACACTGGATCCATAAGAGTCCATATAGCAGTCATATCAATCTTTCTTTGACAATTAAAGGATTAGGATTAACTAAAAGCACTTAAACTCTGACACATATGAACAAACGAACCAAGCCTCTCTGAGCCACAAAGCTGCTTTCCCACAGGGACAGGCTCCAGTGTGCAGAGTGGGAGGGTTGATTTAAGGAAGGATTAGGACCACTATCAGGTGAGCTTAAAAACACTTGCTCTGTTGGGAAAAATGTTTTATGCAACCACATTTAGTCATATTTTAACTCTTTCAGCTTGTTAAACTAACTTAGCACGACACAGAAATTAGCAGGTACTAATGGAAACATGATATCCAAGCCAACGTTTGGCAAACGTGACAAAGTATATTAACACCAGTAATTGTTACATTAGGAATCAGCAGTGATTATCCAGTGTTTTTGAAACACACAGTTTAATCTACTTAGCTAAAACCAAACAGGATAGCTACAACACCTGCTGAAATAAGAAATCAATAAACAGAGCTTATTACAGCATTAAATAAGCTCAACAAGTTAAAAAAATTAAAAACCTTATCCAGGCCTAAATATTATTATTTAAGAACAAATAGAACTTTAGCTAATCATATTTATGTCTACAGTATGCATCATAAAGTGAACTTGGGTTATGTATCAGGACGATGGTCCAAACTACAATCAAAAAATCTTAATATTTCAAAAAAGGTTAAATAAAAATTGTCATGATTTAACTAAAGATCA